AATTCGGCAACACGCCCGACGCCCGATTTTGACACTCGTTAAGGTACGTTTCGCGACTCCGTGTTGAAGGAGAACGCCTAGATGAAACAAAATTCGAAGAGCCAGTTCATGTTTTACGCTTTTTTGAAACTTTCACGTCATTTTCAGAAATTCAAGTAGCGGCGGTGTTGCCGGTTTTCAATGAAAACCACCGCTGCGATCACAATTGAAAGTAGTACTCATTTAATCACGTCTAGCTACATAGTTTATCCTAAACTGACCATTTGCGACATGATGTTAACAACGTCGCCTAATTTCCGTCGGAATTCGCGTAGAGGCAGGGTTGCCAGTTTTCAAGGAAACCACCGCCGCAATCACAAAAAAATGTATCACTCATTAAATCACGTCCAGCCTTATTCTGTAGTTGGAATTGTCGATTTATCGAATCGATGGATTCTTCTATCTCTTTGCAACGGCACTGGTGCCCGACAATAACGAGGTATCGATATTGTACAGTGGACTCTCGATAATTCGAACCTCGATAGTTCGAAAACCTCGTTAATTCGAAGGAAAGTCCGTTTCCCTTGAAAGTCTCTCGATAATTCAAAGAAAATCAATGCATTTTTCTCCCCTCGTTATTTCAAAATTTTTCAGCTGGCGCGGCCCTCTATAATTCGAAATTGCGACGAAAATTCTCTCTGTAATTTGAAGTGTGGGAAGTAAATATGGTCCTCCCTCTTTAATTCGAAATCAGACTGTACATTCCCTCTACAGTTCGAAGTCAACTGTTTATGTACCTGGGTGTCTGAAAGAGTTGATAGGATTGTCAAAATGTAAACATGTAATTATTAGTTTTAAAATTGAATATAAAAAATTAATACTTAATAATAACGTAGTGTAATTTTTACCTCCGTAAAGAAATAAACTGATACTAAGCGCTCAGCCTATAGGCAGCGCTTTTTGATTTCGACTTGCCTCTGAGTACTAGTATACTAGTGCTAATGCGTTTAAAGCGTCCAGCCCACATACAAACTAGAGGCTTCAAAGAGACTCATCGATTGCCCCGACTTAAACCGCTGGCCAATGAGAGGGCCAGGAAAGGCATCGATGAGTCTCTTTGAAGCCTCTAGTTTGTATGTGGGCTGGACGCTTCTATGGCGCGGCAGCTCATCGATGTATAGGCTTTTTTTTGGGGGGGGGTCCATTTTTAAAATAAATAAAGCTGTGAAAACTGTATTTTATGCTTTTAACGTAATGCGCAGGTAGTTTCGATCTATAAGAAAATTTCTTAGCGGTAGAGTAATTCTTATCGGAATTGATCGTTGAACTCAAGAAGCCTAAAAAAACGCGCCTGATGAGCTCAACGGTGAGCTAATTTTCGGGAAACAAAAATACGCGTTTACGGTTTCCTTGGTAACCTTTGTTTGCTATCAGCTGATGTTTTATTTCCATTTCCCAGCCAAGTCGACGGAGTTTATATGTCCTTTCTTCACTAAATACATTTACTAACACCTGAGCGCTTTTCTAATACGACAGTATTAGAACTTTCCCGCTTGTTTTTGGTTCCTTTTGACGTAAATCCGTCCATTTGCCTCTCTTCATTCGAACCTCTCTAATTCGAAATTTCTCCACATGAATCTCTTTAATTCGAACTCCCTTTATTTCGAAACCTCGCTAATTCGAAGAAAAAGCCGATTCCTTTCAATTTCGAATTATCGAGAGTCCACTGTATCGAGATCAAGATCGATGGATCTAGGTCCCTTTCCAAAACTAATCATCAGACCGCTCGGGTGATTCGGTAGCCTTAAATTTCGATACCTCGTTATTGTCGGGCACCAGTGCCGTTGCAAAGAGATAGAAGAATCCATCGATTCGATAAATCGACAATTCCAACTACAGAATAAGGCTGGACGTGATTTAATGAGTGATACATTTTTTTGTGATTGCGGCGGTGGTTTCCTTGAAAACTGGCAACCCTGCCTCTACGCGAATTCCGACGGAAATTAGGCGACGTTGTTAACATCATGTCGCAAATGGTCAGTTTAGGATAAACTATGTAGCTAGACGTGATTAAATGAGTACTACTTTCAATTGTGATCGCAGCGGTGGTTTTCATTGAAAACCGGCAACACCGCCGCTACTTGAATTTCTGAAAATGACGTGAAAGTTTCAAAAAAGCGTAAAACATGAACTGGCTCTTCGAATTTTGTTTCATCTAGGCGTTCGGCCTTGTCCACACGAGCGCGGTTCGCGGAACTTATTTCGAGGAACTTGTTCCTGGAACAATAGTTTTTAGCTGAGCTAAAAACTTATTCCTCCAAAACCCGGAACTTCCCCCGTACTCCGAGCTTCTACATATGTTTCTTTTGATGTGAATTTGTTTGTTTTTGTTTTTTACGTCCTTTATATGCGTCTTGACATTTATTTTTGTTACTTTGGCGGCCGTATTATAATCTATTATTTTGCAATAATTGTATAGTTTTATTGAAGTTCCGGTTCCAGTTCGGACGAACCCGTGTGGACAGCATGCCTCGTTTCAAGGAATAAGTTCCGGGAACTGAGCAAGTTCGAGGAATAAGTTCCGCGAACTGCGCTCGTGTGGACAAGGCCTTCTCCTTCAACACGGAGTCGCGAAACGTACCTTAACGAGTGTCAAAATCGGGCGTCGGGCGTGTTGCCGAATTTTTAAATCGCTGTAACTTGGATTCCCTAGGCCTCTCAGAAAAGTATAACATATCAATGGATGCGAAATCGAACGAACAATAATGCCGACAGGTTTTCATTCAATCCCCACCAACTGCAAACACACTTTTAGGCGATAACGTGATTTTTAATCATTATGAAAATTAAAAAAATGGCCAAAACGTGGCAACAGTGGACTTAAATAAAAATTTCCTTTGCGTACTTCGATAGAGCAAAATTTTCCGCATTTTTTGGTATAAATACGAGCTCTGTAACTGCATTTTTGCGAAAGTTATGGGTGTTTGAAGGTTACGACTTTAACAAATGGCAACGCTGTTTCCCTGCGGTTTTCACCGAAAAGCAGCCAGATGCAGGCCCAAAATGACCTATACAATCATCCCACAAAGTTTCGTACAATCCCCGCGGGGTCACTTTTTGGCCGTTTTGCATAACCCTCTTTTGCATCATCGATTATTAAGTTTTTTGACATTTTTTCATGGGCAAATTCTTGCGCGCCATTGATTGTAAAATTTTTGAAGAATTTATTCATGAGCAAATTTTTCATCACCTAATAACATCAAAAACAATAGATTTGATTTTCTCTTAGTTGTTACAATGATTCGCTATCTATGGTTGATCATTCAGTTGTCTCACCACAAAAACGTGATTTTGATTGATTTTTTAAGGATTATTTATTTGTTTTTATTGGGTTCGATATTCTTTACATTTGTTATTAATTAGCAATGGATGGGAGGCTAAAAATAGGGCCGCGAGGCGACCCATTGATGGCGCGGAGCGCCTTCAGGGGGTTGGGCCGCGTAGCGGCCAAGGGGTGTAGCCTCTTAGCACATACATACATACATACGTACGCAAAACTCGCAAAATTGACGTCGATTCTCCGAAAGAAGACGGTTTTCCAGGTAATTGACCCTGAGGACTCTGAATTTCATGGTCCCTAAGCTCCGCTACCCGCCCTTTTGGGCAGAAACCGTCTTTTTCTGGAGAATCGACGTCACTAAAATTTGTTTTTATTGGGTTCGATATTCTTTACATTTGTTATTAATTAGCAATGGATGGGAGGCTAAAAATAGGGCCGCGAGGCGACCCATTGATGGCGCGGAGCGCCTTCAGGGGGTTGGGCCGCGTAGCGGCCAAGGGGTGTAGCCTCTTAGCACATACATACATACATACATACATACATACATACATACGTACATACGTACGCAAAACTCGCAAATTTGACGTCGATTCTCCAGAAGAAGACGGTTTTCCAGGTAATTGACCCTGAGGACTCTGAATTTCATGGTCCCTAAGCTCCGTTACCCGCCCTTTTGGGCAGAAACCGTCTTTTTCTGGAGAATCGACGTGATTTTTGCGATCAAAGAGGAATCTTGAGAAACTTTTGGAGAGGGCGAAGCCCTCCTCCTCAGGGGTTACTTTCTGCCGTTCAAGGGGTTCAATTAAAACTCTTGGGGGTCACTAAAAATGTAAAAGTGTTCTGCTGCTCAATTTCGATGCAATCAATTTGCGATTCGGAAAGGAGCCCCGATTTTTAAAATTGGGCCCCCGTTTACCCCGCAAGGGAGGCTAGAGGAGCTTCGGGACCATGAAATTTGGATTTCTCGGGGTCGATTATCAGGGGAACCATCTTTTTCTGGAGAATCTACGTCAATTTTGAGACCAAAGAGAAATTATGGAAGGGGGGTACTGGCCCCCTCTTTAGGGGGTCATTTTTAGGCCTTGGATGGGCCGACCATGGATTTTTAGGGGTCAATTTCACGTGAAATTTTCCGTGCTTTTCAATTCTGATGCGATTAATCCGCAGTTCGGTCGAGAACCGTGAGTTTTAGCATCGTGACCCCCCCCCCCCTTACCCCTCAAGGGGGGNGGGGGGGGGGGGGGGGTTTTCGGGACCATGAAATTCCGATTCCTTGGGGTCAATTCCCTATTCCACCCCGCGGTCTCCGACTTCGTACGACCTAAAACAACCGAGAAAAAGGCCTGGTACGGGTGGTCTGAAACACCCTGTATATGAATGGCATAATTATATTTCCATGATCCACGACGCGTGATCGGTGCTCTTCACAAGGTCTTAGGTCTGGGTCCGACATCATGGGAGAATACAATAGTCTATTTACACTAAAAAAAAAAAAAAAAAAAAAAAAAAAAAAAAAAAAAAAAAAAAAAAAAAAAAAANAAAAAAAAAAAAAAAAAAAAAATTGTAATACTCACGCTTAGAGCATTTTATTGTCGTGAAAAAATGTAAAATCTGCAATGGAGATACAAGGCTTTTTTCTCTAAACTAGGCATAGTGAATAAAATTAAGATATTTTTTTTACCTTTAATACTGCCATGCAGATTTCTGACACCCACACTGTAATCGATGCAAGAATTTTCGACTATACTTGCACATGATTCGAGTGAAAGGTTGCGAAAATCAGGTAATGAATCATTCACTGAGTACTGCAACTTTTCAGTATCTTTTTGACCAAGTTCTGGTAAGCTGTAAGGAAACAAGTAGGCAGTCTTTTTAAAAAGGATAAAGTATTAAAAAACTATGTATCGAAGCAAACCTCTCAGCAGGGCTTTGACTATATTATATTGTTTCAATTCTTATCTTGTTGTTTGTTCCTTTCCCATCTACTTCTTCCTGACACTTTAACATTACCCCCTAACAAGAGCCCTCTCCCGATCATTTGCTTGATACTTATTAATTTTCAGCTAACCCTCTATGGCATAGCGTTACGAAGTTGTAACAACATATTTTTGGGTGTTTTTTTTAATTTTTTACTTTTTTTACCACTTCAATTGGTCCACAAGGGCTAATCCTTGCCCTTTAGTCCCGTCCCCCTTCCATCCCTACAACCAGTCCCAGGCAACCATTGTTTGAGACCATCAAACTCGGAATGCCTGGCCTGGAATCGAACCCGGGACCTCCCAACCAAAGAGCTAGCGCTACAACCACTACACAACTACTACGGCCGGAGGCCGACAAAATTTTAATCTTTCCTCTTTGGCATGATTTTGCAAATTTTCATTGGTTATTTCTATTTTCAAAAAACCGATTCCCTAGAATTTTAAATTTTGAAAACAAAGAGCTTGATGCAAAAACGGCTTTTTTCGCCCCCCCTCTGGAAGTTCTTCAGACTTTGTCTATTGATTACTCATACTTGAGCGCTTCTTTTCCCAAATTTTCAGACCCCCAAAAAATTTTGGAGGGGAGCTAGGGGGGGTGGAAGTCAAAACCTGTGAACCTCGATATCTCTTGAACGAAGAAAGATATCAAGGTCCGGTTTGGACGAAAAATCGTCTAAAATTGCATACTTTAAGATTCTAAATGTGGAAATCCCGATATCACATTTTTAAGTCAACATATGTGCTTTTTTCCAGTTTTTAGGTCTAGAAAATTTCTCTTAAACGAAAAATTTACGAAGATCTCAATTTTATATTTGAACCAAAACCAGTTTTTTAAATTGTTCGTCTTTTTCCGCATCCAACGAGTGGTCCATTAAGCTGGGGATCCAAACGGTTCCGAAGTTATGATCGATTGAAGTTTCCGCTCAACGCGCGCCGACCGATTTTCGCGCGCAATAAAGTCGGATTTGACTGTTATTAGATCAGATTGAATGTTCAAACTGAGCAAAATGCTTTATTAGGGACTCTTGAGGGTCGCTGAGTTCAGAAATTACCGATACTTCCAAAAAATTCACGTTTTTAAAATTGCAGCTCCGCAGCGCTATTATAGAGGCCCACTGAGCGCCGACCGGCCGCTCAGTGGTCCTGTCCGAAGCTGCAATTTTAAAAACGTGAATTTTTTGGAAGTATCGGTAATTTCTGAACTCAGCGACCCTCAAGAGTCCCTAATAAAGCATTTTGCTCAGTTTGAACATTCAATCTGATCTAATAACAGTCAAATCCGACTTTATTGCGCGCGAAAATCGGTCGGCGCGCGTTGAGCGGAAACTTCAATCGATCATAACTCCGGAACCGTTTGGATCCCCAGCTTAATGGACCACTCGTTGGATGCGGAAAAAGACGAACAATTTAAAAAACTGGTTTTGGTTCAAATATAAAATTGAGATCTTCGTAAATTTTTCGTTTAAGAGAAATTTTCTAGACCTAAAAACTGGAAAAAAGCACATATGTTGACTTAAAAATGTGACATCGGGATTTCCACCTTTAGAATCTTAAAGTATGCAATTTTAGACGATTTTTCGTCCAAACCGGACCTCGATATCTTTCTTCGTTCAAGAGATATCGAGGTTCACAGGTTTTGACTTCCACCCCCCCCCCCTTAGCTCCCCTCCAAAATTTTTTGGGGGTCTGAAAATTTGGGAAAAGAAGCGCTCAAGTATGAGTCATCAATAGACAAAGTTTGAAGAACTTCCAGAGGGGGGGGGGGCGAAAAAAGTCGTTTTTGCATCAAGCTCTTTGGTGCTCTATATTTATTATGCGAGCTACAAAAAAGATAGACCGTTTACATGATGCCGTCACATTTCGAGATAAATTGCGATTTTGGGTATGGTGCCGTAGCCGGTATTCGGTCGGTTCGATTACAAAAGGATACAGAAAGTGTATTAAATAGGATGGCTCAGGTTGAAGGTTTTCTAAATACGGAAGTGAAGGAACTTATCAATAGGGATGGACGAGCTAGTGATGATGGTAAGGTTGATAGGGTGAGAAAACACAGTGAAGGGATGGAAGAAGGCAGAAAAATTAAGGTTGTAGGAAGGAATATGTTAGGGATGGTGAGGAACAAAAATTCATTTGGATGACTGAAGACAGATTCACAAGCAATTTAGGGGACGAATTGAAGGGATGGACTGACCCAAAAGTATACAAAGTTATCACTCCAATAAGGACTAAAAAAGAATCTGCGGATTGGCTTGATCATTTATCTGAGCTTAGGGACGAGATGAGGGGAGGGGATATCATTATTTGACCGCTAGGAAGAGGGAATTTAGCTAGGAAACAAGACTTTAGGACTTGGGAGGCAGTTGATGCAATGGTGAGAAAATTGCCCTTAGGAGTTAGGTCAGTAGTGACAGGAATTACTGATAAAACTGACAAAGAAGACAAATGGATGGCAGGGAAGGTAAATTGCAGCATCGCAAATGTAAACACTAGGATGTACAAAACTTTACAAAAATATCCTCTAGACACTCTATTTGTACCAATAGTAGGGCTGAGGTATGGAGATTACTGGGGACTAGGGCAGAGAACACCAGGGAAACCGACAAGAGTAGGGCTTATCAAGGTGGCTAGTGCCGTTGTTGATGGAATAAGGAGAACTGGGATGGTTTAGCAGGCTTTTCAAAAACTAGACATAAGTCGAATATATCTTGCTATTGGTTTAGGTGTAATGAGTTAGGGACGATAAGCAGCGATAAAGGATAATGTAAATAATAGTAACAGTAAAAATAATAAGATAAAATTAAATAAGGGATGGGGTGACAATAACAAAACATTAAAAATATGGTATGAAAATGTANGGGGGGGGGGGGGGGTTAGTAGTATACATTTGTAAGAGATAGTATTGAAAACTTAGGGACGGAGATATTTGAAATTAATATTGTGTGGTTCATTAGCCTTAATATTTACATAGGGAAGGCTGTGATACAGAAAAACTGAGGGAAGTATTAGGGAACGTCGAACAAAGAAAACATGAATTAGGGGTAAATGAGTTATAGGCAGAAATGGTTGAGGGAACTAGAAAATGTGTAGTAATCGAAAATAGTAAGGTAAAAATTAGAAGAGTGAGATAGTTGGACAGGGAATTGGAAAAGAGGAGAAAGGAAAGGGACTGCGCGTATAAGACATGGTAGGAAAACAACACGCCTGAAGGGTGGAACAAATATAAAAACCGGCGCTCCGCTTCGCGCCGGTTTTTGGAGGGGCTTCGCCCCCCCAAGCCCCCCCAGGACGCGCGCGTTTCAGGGTCGTCTGCGCATCTAGTTTTTCTTCTTTTTAAGTGTCCCGCGCATCCACCGCGGGAAGGAAGTGTATTTCCCGAAGTGGGATTTTCGTAGTCATAAAATCGTACGTCTGTAAGTCATTGTGTAAAGGATAGTTTTTTGCCACATATTTCCTTTCCTTGGGCCGCTGTGCGACGAACAGTTTGTCCAAAAACTTTCTTCTCCTGTCCCACTATGCAACGCGTAGTTTGTCCAAAATCTTCCTTCCCTGGACCACTGAGCGACGAAAAGCTTGTTCAAAAACTTCTTCCCCCTGACCCACTGTGCGACGAAAATATTGTCCAAAAACTTCCTCCCCCTGACCCACTGTGCGACGAAAATTTTGTCCAAAACCTTCCTCCCCCTGACCCACTGTGAGACGAAAATTATGTCCAAAAACTTCTTCCCCTGACCCACTGTGCGACGATCAGCTTGTCTAAAAACTTTCTCCCCCGACCCACTGTGCGGCCCTGCTCGGGCCTGCTCCCCTCATGTCGCGCACCCCTCGCCTAAAACTTTCAAAGCTCGCCATTTTTAAACGGCTCGGCCGAATTACCTCAAATTCAATACCAAATCAGTCCTAGGGAAGAACTACCACCCATAAAAATTTCAGCTCAAAATATTCGTTGTTGCTCGAATTATCGAGTGGACAAGATTTGACCTCCCCCCACTATCGAGCCTTACCCCTCAAAATCTATTGCCTCAATTTCAATTTTTTTTCGCAGAAGAGTAGTTCTAATGAGTCTCTACTAAATGCAAAAAAATTGGTCAAAATATCTTTCAACGTAAGAATGATATAACTACTCAAAAATCGAAAAATCTTAAAAAACCAGTCTTAGTAGATATCTAACTACCCTCAAAATTTCAGCTCAAAATATTCATTTTTACTCGAGTTATCGCGTGGACAAAATTAAACCTCCCCCCACTTTGACCCCTCGCTGTGCGAAAAGTAATTAACGTATTCCGATTTTTTCTTCACAGTTTAAAAGTACTCTTAGGGGACTATAAACCCCAGAAGTTTCGTTTCAAGGAACTTAAAAATTAACTGCCGCTCAACGCTCTGAAAACTGAAAAATCCTCACGCTGGCTGAAATACATACATATATATATATATGACAGAAAATGAATGACATATATATTCGTGATCTACGACTCGAGATCGGTGCTCTTTACATGGTCCCAGGTCTAGGTCCCACCATGAGGGAGAACGCAATAGTGTATCTTTCCTTCGGAAAATACACTAAAAGGCGGAAATACATACATACATACGTACATATATACATAAATATATACACACACACATATATATATATATATATACATGAATTTGAATGGCATATATTTTCGTGATCTACGACCCGTGATCGGTGCTCTTCACAAGGTCTCAGGTCTGGGTCCGACATCATGGGAGAATGCAATAGTGTATTTTCTTCGGAAAATACACTAAAAGGTAAGAAATTCTTTAACAAAATGTATAGATATAAGAAGAAGAAATACTACGAGGAAAACCTTAGGAGGCGCAATAAAGAAGGAATGAAGACGTTGAGAG